AAGTGAAAAGGAAGAAGACATTGATGATTTTAGACCCTGTTAGTACACGGTTATTAAAGCTTGAAAACGCCGAAAGTAATGCAAACGAACAAATATATCTAGTGAATTAGGGGGTTCTCTCAGAATGCCGTGTTAATTCTTTTTCAGCTAGATCGGGGACTCTTTCAAGTGCAGTCCTATTATTAAAAGATTACTGAAATGCTTCAGTTACTTAGAGTTACTTTCAAACTTATTGATGTGTTTTGGTACATAACTAAGCTTGAAGTAAAGTTTTCATTGGATTAGACGATGTAAGGCGTGTACGACTTATGGTTAACTAGTGATAATCGATAAGAAACAGTGTTGTCAGCAATAATTGCTATCAGTAGATTTGCAAACAACGTTAGGAGTCAAACATAGTAACGTCACTTGTCAAAAAATACTTGTGATAACTCACGGTTTCATGTCTACCTTCCTCATCCTTACGAACGAAAAGTGGATATGAACTCCATTTTGGCTTCAGAATCCCCAACTTTGGATGTTGATACATTGTTCTTAATAGGTAACCATTATGAAATTACTTTTTGGAAGCAATTCCCAAGTCTTCTTTTGGCTTGAAAATGAAGACAATGGGATACGTATTCTCTGATGTATTTTTGCTGACTGCTGTCATGATATCTTTTGCTAACTGTGGGTCGCCTACCTGGACCTCTGTGACGAATAATTTGACAATATCAAGTTGATTATCAGATCTTCCATGAATTAAGACTTCATTGACATAATATTACCAGAAATCAGAGTTCATTGTGTACTGCTATTGTGATGGTGAGATTAGTCAACCATATATTGAAGTTTTTACTGCATGCCAACACTTCATTTTCATTAATTCTAACCAAGAAGGTTTGTTTCTTCAGAAGTGTAAAGAACCAGTACTTAAGTTGCATGCAAAAATAATTCTACTGTGATTAGGAGGTTTTTCAGCAGTTATCTGAAGAACTTAGTAATGGATGAAAAATATCTTGTTCCATTAGTAACACTGCTTCCATACCTAGTTAACTTGCATTAATAAATATTCCCAAATCCATCTGTTTATACCTTCAGTTTGGATAATAAGCGACTCTGAAAAAATAATTTAGGAAGTTCGTTTCATGAACTATTTCTTAAATTAAGCACCAAATATCAATGACTTAGAAAAGAGGGTTATCAAGTATACAAAAGGTAAGGTAGTACCCAAAGCTTTTGTTTGAGAAATAAGTCAGTAAGAAGCTTCAAACTGACTAATGTTGAGGAAGAAACATTCAGAAGATGTACACGAACTCGCCTTATATTAACATCGGTAAAAACAGTTCATAGCACTGGCGACATCAGTCAAGCAAAATCAATTCATAGTGGTGATCAAAATCCGATTACGGTACCAGAATCGTAGTTATTGTGTCATATACCAAAAAGGTAGGGGAATCAACTAAATTGTGAAATGCTTACTTCTGTTAGTACTACATAATTGTAACAGACTGCAAAACAAGTGGCAGGTATATGTACATTGTGCAAAAAGTTTATATTTTAGAACTGCTAACTATAGGAGGGATCTGGCTGTCCACTGAAATATATGAAGTGACTAAACTAGACTTCTTGACATTAGGCAGTTACAAGTGAAGATATCCCTATGCAGTGGGTTCGTTACGAAACTGAAGTTTAAAAAAGACTGAATAACATAAAAGTTATATTAGTGCAGATAGCATATTGATATACTACAATGTAGAATCTTCTAAATTTCTTCTCAGTATTTCATTTAAGTGATGATTTTGAACAACACAGGGAAAATTACATTCACTAAGATGCGTAATTTTTTATTATTTACAGTACTTAACCAGACGCCATTCGTTTGGCGATGGCTAAAGTTATATCACTTTAAGGATCGTCATATACACATATCGATGTACGGCTGATTATCTTCTGAATCGCACTCAAACCCACTGATCACTACTTCAAATGCTTTGGCACTATCCATTAGGCCTCTGAGATGCAATGAAGAGATATTACTTTTATCTTTTGTCCCTTCATTCCACTAATAATCACTGAAAAAGAAATAAAATAAGAGAAAAATATCCAGCAATGTGAATACATGCTTATAACCAACCGATGTATTAGCTTCACTTGTAGGAATAAAAAACAATTAAAAAGGTATATGGTAAACCTTAGTACTTATTAAATTGATTTTTATGGCTAAGTAGTGGATAGCAATTAAAGTACAAAACATTTTTTTCTACCACCTATCACTATAAGATTTCACTAAAACATATTAGTGGTTAGAAATCCTGCACATAAATTCCCAATTATATCTTACAAGGTTGAAGTGAAAAGATGTCAAATGATTTCCTCTTTGCTTGAAGCCGTGTTTATCTGTAAAAAACCTAAGTATCTCGAGAACACATTTTCTGTAATATTTACATAAAATGATAAATGGCTGATTTTCTGTCCTATAAATTCATTTTGATGAGAAGAATTTTTATTATTGGCCTAGTTCTTGGCAAAAATTTTGTTGACAGATAACATACTCAAAGTGCTGCCTAAATTTTTGAAAAATGGTTAGTTTTAAGCTGTTTCACTCTACATCTGTGGCTGCATGTTGACCTTTCTCTCCTACTCTTCTCCAAAACAGCCAAGTGTAAAGTCAAACTTTGGTTACTTTTGATGATATATATTTCAAGAGGAATAGATAATGGATAATATAAGTTTCACTTAACCAAAAAAACACCAGACAGACAGAAAAAACAAATTGGGACGTGGCATATTGGTGTATCATTTGAAGATGCTAGTCTTAACCAAAGCATGCAAAAAACCGTGAAGGGAAAAAATGACAACAAAGTAGATAAAAGTATACAAGAGAAGAGGGGATTATTTGATTAAGGTCAATGAAGAAGTTCAGAACTGCGTAAACAACAATTGCTATAATCTCATCCATCACTGTAATTGATTCTTATCTATATCAGCAACAGCTGTCTACTGAACACTTCAAACTTTTGCGATTTAGCACTTTTCCTCCTTATTACATACTTCTTTGAGTAAAGTGGCATTCAGGTCACTCCACATATAGAAAGTTATTTAAGGGAGATGGTCATAAAATTTCATGCTAGTGATCTATAAAGGAATATTTTAACGACAAAATCAAATGGAAATCATTTTACTTTAGACACTGATTAATGAATGGATAATGATCACTTCTGTACTATTATTCCTTATCAGAATGTAAATAAATGCATTAAAACAGGAAATATAACACGTAAAACAGCTTAAAAAATAAAAGCAGCTCAATGAAGCATTATTCTCAGGCATAATATTTTAAAAGAGAGTGAAACATTTGTACTAGCAACACACAAAATTCAGAAATGAGAAGTCCTCACTAGGCAGTCAGTGTGAGTAGGATCAAGCTACAGTAACGCATCACGAATTCACATGGCAGTCAGGTAAAATGCTTGGTGATTGAAGTAAAATAAAAACCTGGTCAGGATTCGGATCCTGTAGCTCAATCGGTAGAGCACTGGGCCTAAATTTTCACTTCACCTTCAATCATTACCCAGTACCCATACAAGTCTGCCAAACCACGGCTATCGCAGATAGTCAAACCAATACATCTATATTATTAAAAGTACTAACGTCTTAAGCATAATATATTATAGGACCTTCGGTTAGGTACTATGTGAGTGGTTCACTTAGGAGGCTTGCCTCATTAAACACTATGAATTAAGCAAACATGAAGTGAAGGCTAATTTTATAAACAAACTCAACTTAATCAGTGGTAATACCTGAGTTAATGTAACGGTGCTCAACCTCCTACAAAAGTATGTACACTCCTGTTGTCTAAAAAAGTAAGTCATCAATTAGTTAGCTCACGAAATTTGCAGTGATATTTTTATAAGTATCCTGTTAATGCAATGTTTCTTTATTTAATCCAAAGCATAATGGCGGAGCATTACGCGTTGGACACTACTGTTCTACACTCTTGTAACAATAATGAGTTGTAAAAACCAAAATGTTGGTCATCGTGGTAGAATTTAATTGCATGTCTGATTTGTTCTACTTGATATAGCGAGCATCCACATACCGTTCTTCACTTTATGACGTCTTGAATAAACGTTGTTACTTAGAATTTTAGCATATATGATGTTACAGCTTGTAATTTCTCGTTGTCGACTGAACCGAAATGATTGGCCACAATTGGCAAGTCAACTACTATACAGATTCCGCAATGTAAGCAGTAATTCCGTTTGATAGTAGTAGGGGGTTTCACCCCTTTGGGACTCCTCAGCTTTATGTACCTATATCCTCGAAAATGATAGTTTTCCCACTCAAACTCACACTCAGCACCCAAAATCTCAAAAGCCAGAGCGTCGTCCACTAAGCCACTGAGGTACAGGAGTTGATCTTTTTTCAACAGATATAATTCTAACGTTGTAGTTTTCAACCTTCCGACGTCGATTTAACCAAATCGACTGAGGATAATTAACATAAAGATGCCTCTATCACAACATAGTGATTATTGAAATAAAGAATAATGAGGAATAACATACTTAAGACAGTAAGGCAATATTCCAAACAACTGTTTCTCATTACACTATTTGATGTCGAGTGAAATAAGTGAATAGTTAAAGTCAGTAAACAAAACACCTCTTTTGACTACGAAATTCCTCAAAGCTGTGAGTTCTTTCGAAGTCTGTGACTGAATTATAGTTGCTGTTTATTTTCTTCATAGTCTCCTGTTATATTTTGATCAATACTTACTTATACTAAGGACTAAGTTTAGATTTATGAAGATAAATGACAGAGTTTGTTACTTTAATGTCAGCAGTTTACGGTATTCTACTTCAATCTAATAAAACGTTTTATAATTATACGCCATTCAGTTATTCTGCTATTTCTAGCTAATGCAGCTTCGTTGATAAGGATTTGAAACTAAAAAATCAATATAATCATTACTTTATTCGGAATGTTAGGTGGAGCTTATTATTAGTAAGAATCAAGGGATGAACCGCAGTAACAATCTGAATTTTGTCTGTGGAGCTGGATATGATTTAAAATCAAGTCCTCCTATGTGAGTTTCTCTTCGTTTTTTGAAATTTTTGTTATTCTTTTGAAAATTTACTTTTTACTATAATATCATCTATCAGTTTACAAAGTTGTTTTATGAACGGTCTATTAAAAACTACATAACACGAATTTATGTATCCCGGAATTATATTTAAGAAATAAGTAGTTTGTGCTTTGTTACACTTTTGCTTGTTTGTCTCAAAATACTACGGACATGAAATAATGAAGTCATACCTTTGGGGTGAAATCTTATTTGTTATCCATGTCACAATTGGAAATGTTGGCTGATCCTTTGTCCCACCGATAGCTTACAACTACAACAGCAAACCAGGAAGTTAAATCACTGAAACTAGGATAAAATACCAAATAGCTAAGACTGGAATTCATAAGAAATGAGAAATCTAGGAGGATTAAGTTGGCCCTACTTTAGTTGAAACCATATGACTAGAATCTGACCTGTAACGACATATGAGATAACTTTTGAAAAGATTTCTGATTGTGTGATGAAAACAAACCAAGTAAATGCATCCATCTTCTGCATCAATGTCATGTTTTATCTCAGATGTATACCTTTTTGTAGACTGCTTAGGCCTATTTCTTAGAAGTTATCACAAACTGTGCAATAAGCAATTGCTGACACAAATTTCAGTTATCGTTTAGTCAATTATATCTTCCAGCTGGAAGCTTTTATTCAAAGTATGAATTTTAATTGCTGCATACCTATTTTTCTGTTATTAATTCATGCCTTCCTCGATTATTTTACTGCTCTTCTCCTTTAGTTAACTTAATTAGATCTACTTTGAATTTAAAATAAACCTAATGGCTGCAGCATTACTTATATGTCTAGTATTTTGTTACAAGATAAGAGTTTCTAAACCTAAAATTGGCGTGGAACAACAACTTAATCACCTCCCCAGTTCACCAACTTAATGATATCAAATGACATTCGTATTTACATGTGCATAGAACCTAGAAAGTCAGGCTAAAAACCCCGAAAAATCAGTATAAATAAGAATATGCCTTCGTCAATTGCAAACAATTTGTAAAATAGTCCTGTATATTACCAAAAATTTAATGAAAGGCCAAAATTTTTTCAGGAATCTTACGGAGATTATTCCTATTAACTATCATAACTGACTTTTATTAGTCAAATATTATTCTCAACCTTCGTCAGAACTAATCATATGCAGTTTGTGATTAGTCTTCAGGACTTGTTTGCACTGACTCCTACTTCAAAGACACTTTGTAAAATGGTGGGATGTGTTAACTACATCAATTAATTTAAAATTTGCATCAGTCCGAATGAGTTGGTTACTACTTAAGTTTCAACCCATTTACAAAAAGCTGGTTAACTACCTGCTGAACTACACCATTCTCTCTACAGGTGACGCATCAAACTACCTATCACATGACAAATTTGAGTCCGAAATTGATGCTGGTAACAGAAGCTTCGAAGATGTTAAGGGTTTCTGGTTGCAGGTATCTTCATAGTATTATTGGTGCGCCATGCAGTCTTTGTGTAATTGAATTTGATGTAAAACTTAGAGTGGTAGATAAGGGAAGGTAGTCAACTGAAGAGACAGTGTACATTGAGCACCTCAAGTGGCTAGGAACTATGTGGCACGAGTCAAGCTACTGCCCTACGCGACGTACGATGTCAGCTCAAATAGGATCTGGTCAGACGAATACTATGGGAGGTCGAATGAACTAATAGCATATATCCATGATGTCACTGACTAATGATATGAGGTATACATGGAGGTGCAAGCTGCTTGAATGGGGTCTTAAAGATAATCACCAGTGGAAAACTAGACTACCTGACTCAAAATAGATAACAATAGTGCAGATATATACAATGTTTATCATTTTTGACGTCTTGAACCTCTTCATTATTGTTCATCTATTAGTTCTCTCTACTCTTTAACACATTTATCTTCCATCATTCTGCTGCCAAATGTTGCAACATATAATGATACATTTGTGAGTTACACTCCATGCTGAATTTTATTTTCGACAAGTTTGAACACACATAATACAGTTTTATGAATTTTATTACAATTAGTTCTCATAGGGTAGTGCAGTAGTTTGAACACAATCATAAGATTTAAGTGAGAGACGAACTTTCAATGCAACTAGAATTTAACTTGGCATTAGATTTGGATTATTTGGTAACCTTTGCTGTATTCCTTCTGTGATAAACACTGGATTACCTGCCTGAAAGCTATAAGCTTCTAATAATGAATCTGCCTAATTACTCTTTAAAGTAATTTAATGAATTCAATTAATTAATCAATTAATAATTAGATTAAATTGAATCAAAGTTAATGAACGCCTTTTGTCATAACAGTTCTCATGTTAACTAGTGATAAAAACCACTTTTTTATCAAGTAAGATTGATTCTTCCAGATCTGAAGGCCATAGACACATGCATACTCTTCATATTGAGTTAACCAATATAAGGCAACCATTTATTTGAAATTAACTTTCTCTAAGCATTTACTTTTAAGTGAATTTTCCGGGTAGAATCAATCAAAAAGCAAACAATATAGAGAAGTAGGTAGTACATTAATAGATTGTAGGATTGTATGCAACTAATAATGCTCATACAAATAAATAATTTTGCGTATATACACCATTTTAGATTTTATTCTTTGTAGACTACACTCACTTCTTTATAAAAGTCTCCTAGCTAGTAAATATGCAAAATATTGGATTGCTGGAAGATTTTACATAGTATTTAGGGTACCCGTGCATTGGTTTATGTTTATTACAGTGTTAAAAGCATAAATCACACAAAGTTTTACAACGTATGTGAAATTTAATTATGTCATGAGAGTATTCGTTCATTGAGGGTAAACGACATGATTCTCGTTCTTGTTGTATCCTCCTCAATGAAATGCATTTCAAAAATTAATTAGAAAGTGTATTGAAGTATCCTGACAATATGCTTCTTAATCACATTTTCTTTTATTGGGTGTATTTACGAATAATTTAATTAAACTAATTTCTAAACAGTTCCATCCACTAGAAAGGAGATTTAATTTAATGAATCTGGGTACAGAATTTGAACAGTTATGACTGTCTATTACTATCCAGAGAAAAATTATGCCTCTATATCATTAACATTTTATTAAGTATCATTGTATTTTCGTTCATTATTTCAATCAACGTTGGTATAAAATGTGATAATTCGAACACTGCATTTTTCAGTGCAGTTGTGCATTGGTTCAACCATTTTTCTAATATCAGGAGTGATTATTATCTAGCCTATAGAAATCCATACCCCGTAGTGCGCTTTCTTGAATGACTCTTATTTACCAGTTTCTCTATGTTAAACTACATCACCTTATTTTGATTATACACCCATAATGTTCATTTTTGAGAATTATTTGAGTTTGTGAATGAATTTACACGCTATAGGCATTGATTACATTCTTACACATACCGTTAGCATAAATCCAAATTCGAAATATATTTAACTTGATACATAGTCAACTAGAAGTCGTTTTTTATTATCTCACAGATTACAGAAGATAACTTGTAAATCAAAGAAATTTCGTCTATGTAACTTATTCAACACCACTTTGGTAGAATGTCTTGACTGATTTAGAGTAAGAAGAAAAACACCTTGAGGAGCGAGAAGAAGGGTATTCGCTGGCTGGACAAATGAAAAAAGCCTAGAAGATCTGGATTTAGCCGATGATGACTTATATCTAATATCACACAATCTTGAAGATCTACAGGCGAAAACTAACAAGTTGTCAGAAGAGGCAGCGCAGCGGAAACAGGACTTCAAGTGAATGAAGAGAAGACAGAGGTGATGAAGATACCCAACCGACAACAGCAACAAGCACCAATCACCATTAACAGGAGAAATCTAAAGGAAGTAGTCTCTTTCACCTACCCACCTAGGCAGCATCGTTTCAACTACAGGCGGCACGGGCACAGAAGTGGATGTCAAAACCAGGATCAAAAAGCAAAACAGGCCTTCACTAATCTGGAATCAGTGTGGAAATTTACTGCACCCAGAAAAGAGCATGAACAAGATCGAGATTTTCAACACCAATGTCAAGTCAGTGCTGCTATATGGTTCAGAAACTTGGCGTGTCACGAAAAGCACTTCCAACAAACTACAGACATTCATCAACAGCTGCCTCCTCTCTCACTTGGAACTGAAGATGATCAGATGGCCAAAATAACGAGAATAAGCAACAAGGAACTTTGTGAACGAACCAACCAGGAACCTACCACGCAAAAAATATTCAGAAGAAAGTAGAGATGGATTGGACTGAGCATACACTAAGAAAACCATTCACAAACATCACGCGCCAGGCACTCGAGTGGAAGCGAAATGGTAAACGATGAGTTGTGCATCCGAGGCAAGGGTGACATGGAGGAGATCATATCAGGAAGAAATAAAAGCTTGTGGGTAGTCGTGGAGCGAGGTTGAAAAGACTGCAGAGAAGGGAGTGAAGTGGAGACGTGTAACTGAAGCCCTATATTCCACTAGGAACCCAAGGAAAAAATAAGAACAAGAAAAAACTAACTGTGTATCATTTCATGAATAATTTACCCAATATTTCATTTTCATAGTTCTACATGATTTGTTTTTGTTGTGTTTGCATGAGAAAACCCTAACTTTCCTTCTGTCAATTTCCAATTTTTTCCCCTTTGTCCCTGAATAATATATTAGGAAGAAAACGTTTCTGATTATTGGGATATTCTAGTGCCCACTTTTTATTATTTAGTTTGCTGTTATCACATTGGAATTAAGCTAAAACTACATTTTTTGTTCATGCGTATGACAAACACATACTATTGATTGTCTGAATAAAGTTAGCCCAGTTCGTCAGCCTTAAAGTATGTCATCAACATATGTTACCAATTCAATATGACTGTTGAAGTTTTATAAATCCTTGTTTTATGGAATCCAAAGCTTGAAGAATAAACTGGGTGTAATTTAATTTTGTTTCAGTAAATAGAATAGCTGGAAAAATATTAATC